ATTGATATATAAATATAATCATTGTGCTTGATACACCCATGATAGCCCCGCAAGCCATTTAGGATTTTGATTCAGTTCGCAGCGTAGCCGTGAATATTTTTAAAACAAATCAAAGGCATATCCTGGTTCGTTTTCTTTCCACACAAGTGTAGCAATTTGAATAGACTGGTATTTTATGTGGTTTAGATGCTTCCGCTCGAAAATACTATGGCGTCGATACCGTTCGTTTCACACCAGAGGAGGAGTATTAAGGATGAGTCTTTGATAACGAGAGACCCGACGAGAGCATTCAGCATTGCGAGAATAACGCTCCAAAGACCAAAGCTGTCGGCATATTACACGGCATTGTCGGAATATAAAGATTCTTGTACAAAAATGTGACAAAGTATGCGATGCTCTCGCACTGTGACAAATGGAAATCATCCTCGCTTTAAAGTATACACTCTACATACTACTCTCTCTCTTAGAGTCTATTTATTACTAAATGGACATGGTACAGACACAGTATATAGTTCAACAGGGGTGCTTCACTGCATCGTTCAATATTTTTTATTAAATATTGTTATAAATATCTGAAAAAGAGTCGAAGAGGAAGCTTGGACCCAGGGGATTCGAGGAACACGCACTCTCTTTGTTCAACTCTTCTTGTCACTCGCTTGTGTCCGTGTGTGTTGTGTTTTGTTTTCTCAAAAAAAAAAGATGACTGCGTCAGACTGTCGGACTGTCATAACCATGATTAGGCCACAATAAAAGGTCTCCTAAATTGTCCCGTTTGGTATACAGAGGCCTCTTAAAAGGCCCCCTGCAAAGTTTATGTAACCACCAATGAGGTGTACGTATAGTACGGCCCCCAATTGGAAGCTAAAACTGACAAGAAGTTCCCTCATTCCCAGTACTCAGTGTATGTCTATGCATTTTTCTTGAAAAATCGATACAGTATTTCAAATACATACCAAATTGGGGAGGGACGAAATTAACGCTTTCAGTCCTCATTTGTAATAATGTCGGATACGTTTCTATCTGACAGTTCAGTATTCGATGACTGCGGCATTCCACGTGAGGCACAATGAGGTTTTAGGGTTTCATAAATAAATCAATGCACGTACGTAAACAAATACAATTTCATGGTGAAACATAGCACCAGTAGTTAAATAAACAGTTGCGAGAACGCACACAGGCATCATGGCTACAGCACCCAAACCCGCTACCACTACATGCTTCACAGCAGAAGTGCTCTCCGCACAAATCGCTGAGCAGACGCAAAAGATCCAGGCGTTGCACATTGGACACGCATCTGAAGACGACTTAAAGGTGGAGATTGATCACTTGGTTACCTTGACAGAGAGTTTGACTCAGCAACAATCAGAGAAGCCAAAGCAGAAGTCTAAGGGAGATGGCGGAAAGAAAATGCCAAAGGTGCCGAAGGGAACTAGAGATCAGGTACTATATTTGTTCCATTGTGATGCCACTTGGCGCGATATTTTAGACTTATGTCGTCATATCAAACCTACCTAGCACGTATCAAATACTTACTTAAGTAAATACTTGGGTCTTATTCAGATCTTCGTGTGGTAAGTACTCGCTCTTCTCGTAGTTAGAGTACTTAGACGTACGTAGTACCAGGATTTACAAATATTAATGTTCGTCAATTCTAGGAATTATAGGTATACATATGAATTTATTGTGTACATATCTGTCTATGATTATACA